CTGCTGCTGATGCATCCGCTGACTGACTGACTAACACTGACACCGGACATTGCCTCGAAGCTGCACTAACAAAGCAGCTGCTTTTGTTGCTGCGTGCTCTACTGATACCATCAACACCGCCGCCGCCGCTTCTACTGCTCTGGAATATCGTTTGTAGAGGTTTGGACATTGTGCAGTGCCCACAGGTAAGACACAGTTGCCTCGATTGCCGACTGTACACTGCAAGACTACAAGCGCAGATCTGCTTGGTTTTACCATGCTAGCTGTGTCCGTAAATGGAAAGACAGTGGCGGTGATGCAAATAATGCTGAAGATTGATTCGAAATAATTTTAAAATTTCCGAGCTGCGGCGCGCTCTGGTGGTGAACAATGTTATTTTTTTGGGATTTTTATTACAGTCAAAAAGACAAAAAGATAAAAGATAAAATCATGGGAGAAAATACAGTATAAGAGTGGTCCCATTAAAAAGAGATAGAGGAAAAGAGTAAAGCATAAAACAAAGCAGTAGTAGTATCATCAGTAGGCGAGTAATACTAATCGAATATCAAAGCAAAGAAGAACAAAAGCTTGCCGGAAATTAGAAGCTGCCTGAAAGAGGTAGGATTTCCTGGTTTTCCTTCTCATTTGGCCTTGGTGGGGTCCTCGACAGCGCCAATGAAGAGCACCTGGTGGGTGTCCTTGGTGACCAGCGCGTAGAGAAACGGCCGATCAGCGATGAACTCCTTCGGCTTGGGCGGAAAGCGGCTGGAGCCGAGGAGAAGGAGGGCGGTGCCGGCGGCCGCCGTCGTGCCCTCCTCATTCACCTCAATCACCGCCTGCTGGATCACCTCGCTGACGACTAGCTCCTCGAAGCGTGGCGAGATGCCGCTCAGATTGGCCGCCCCGTTGGTGAAGACGTCGGTGAGGCCGAGGGCGCGCAGGCTGGCGGCCAGCTTGTGGTGGCCGGTCAGCTTGAAACGGGGCACCTCCAGGCGGACCTTGCCCTGGGCGTAGGTGCCGCGAATGGCGGCGTTCAACAGCTGTCCGGTCAGCTGCTTGGTGATGAAATCGCCCAGAGAAACACCCTCGGCGGGCAGCACCAGCAGCATGGCGATGTTGCCGGCGTTGT